GACAACATCAAAACGTTTTGATATTATACAATTTTTATCGGTGGAATTTTAAGTATAACCAATCAGATTTCATGCTGTGATCACGTGCTTGTATTAATTTGGCAACATGGCGGCTACAGTTCAGGGAGCGCATTTTTTCGTAATCGTGTGCGGAGTATACCGATGTATATCGGTATGTCAAACGATTTTTATCGGCCGACTAAAATCGTATCTTTTGCGCCAGGCTCATAGGCGTACCGGGCGGGGGGGGCGGCAGCCCCCCCCAGTTTTTTGGGCAGTCGGGCAATATTCGATGAACAGTCGGGCAATTTTGGTTTGCAATAAAAAAAAATGGGTCAAATTCTGTAAATTTTGTCTAAAATTAATTCAAATTTTTGGCAAATTTTGTTTTTTTCGAAAATTTATGTTATGCTCCGGAAAAATTGTTTGTCCGGAAAATTTTTTTGACCCCTAAAATGGTACAATGACCGAAATTTTTTTGGCGACGGGGGGGGGAGGTCGCCAAAATAATTTTTCCGGAAAATTTTTTTTGGTCCTAGTCGGGCAGAATCAGAATCTCGAAAAGTCGGGCAATTTTCTTGCCGCCCCCCTAATTTTTTCCTTCCGGTACGCCCATGGCCAGGCTTTAACGTACACTTCGTTCCTTGTAGCCGTTATTTTCACAACAAAACCAAATACCTTGCTAGTATATATAGATTGCACTATTATATAGACAGCTTGTTTCTCTAGACAGCAGAAAATTTTCACACGAACACGGACGATGCCTCTTCAAGAATAATGTGTCTTGTGAGACGATGTGCGGGATCAAAATGACTCGCTTCTCCGAGTTTCTAGATCGCCACTCTACTCATTCTGCTACTTTGCAAACGGGGATTGAATGCAAGTTCTATGTAAAGCACACATACTAAATATTTTCGTGACAAGTTAGCCGCTTGTCTTGGTTCTGGAGGGCGTGCAATTATTTTACCAATTTCAGCTCACCGTCTACAAGAGTTGTCTCATTCCACGACTTATATAGTACTTAAAAGTTAAAACCCTCCGAAAAGCATTTCATACGACGCATTATCTTAGTCAATCTTTTACTACAAGCTTATTGAGGATAACCGACGTTTTCACACTCTTGTCATTCGTTGAGGGTAAAATTTGGAAGAACAAGACAATCTTACGTAATTGCTGGAATCCCCCTGTCCGCGGCCAGTATCATATTTCAACAAAGCTAAGACACAGAAGTCAAAGAGCTTCGCTCAATTATAAAACTTGCCAAGGGTGTTTACATTAACTACATTATGACGATCAACAAAAATGCAATAGAATGACTTCTAAAACATCTTCAGACAACGACAAGTTATTGGTCGAGGTTTCCAATGTCAATCCTAATATAATAGTGCAAGAATTGGCAAGCAGCAACTCTGATTTCCCGACTGAAGTTAATCAACATCAACAGCCGTCTGCATGCCGAAGCGAAGCTGCTCTCAACAGCTACATTGCTACCGAACAGCAACCTATCCACATCGAGAGTAACTCTAGCATCATCAGCATTACAGCTTGTGGCAAATGCTGTAATAATGATGTTTCAGAAGACTCGGATGTCACTGCTCTGAGTGATAAACTGACAAATATAAACGTCAACATAAATAACAATTTCGGTATCATTATAATGACCCTGACTTGTGGGAAAATCACCCTCGATGTTCAGCCTGATGACACAATTGAGGACGTGAAAACGAAGATACAAGATAAACAAGGCATCCCTCCTGACCAACAACGGCTTATCTTTGCCGGGAAACAACTTGAAGATGGTCAATCGTTGTCAAACTACAATATCAAAAGCGGATCTGCCGTCCATTTAGTTTTAAGTCTACGGGGAGGAATGCAGATATTTGTTAAATTACATCGAGATCATGCACATGCAAAGATCATTGCAGTGGAAACAGAGTCCACAGAAACAATAGGCGGGATAAAATGCAAAGTTCAGGACAAAGAAGGCATAATTCCTGAAGTACAGGTACTTGTATTTTCTGGAAAGCGTCTGGAAGACAATGGAACTTTAATTCACAATAACATTAGGAAGGAGGATACCATTGACCTAATTTGCTGTACTCGAGGTGAACTTTTCAAGGTTTTTGTTTATTCAACTTCAACTCGAAAAACCTTTGTCCTTGACGACAACAACGCATCAGAAACAGTAAAAAAATTGAAAATAAAAATTCAGACAAACGAAGGCATTCGTCTTGATGGACAACAACTTGTTTTCGAAGATCAACAACTGGAAGATGGGCTTACGTTATCAGATTACGGCATTGAAGAAGGATCAGTCATTTTTCTGCAAGAAACTTCTCGCAGTTCTCGCCCCAGTCCCAGATCACATTGGTCATGCTCGATAATGTAATGTACATGATTGGTTTACGTATTCCATATGACAGTATAACATACTAGAAACTTAAAGAAATTTTAGAATATAATTTGTTCATACGTTCAGTAAACTTGGAATTTATTTTAATTTATCCTGAGAGTTTTCGCTACGCTTTCATGCAACTGTTGTTCTCGTTTCACCGGGGCATGAATTGAGAAAACGCTCATGCATACTCTCTCTGCTTACTCTCGATTTCAATTTGCTTTTCAAAACTGACTTCCAATGTTTACTTGTAAATTCGAAATGTTCGTTGTAAAGTTCCGAAGTTTGTTTCGAAGTTTGTTTCGAAGTTCGTTCCGATGATTTACGATAATCAAGTTTAGTAAGTTGTAATTGGCTAGTTAAGTGAACCAGCCAATCAAATCGCTTGCTATTGAATCATCGTAAATCATCGTAACGAACTTCGAAACAAACTTCGGAACTTTACAACGAACATTCCGAATTTACAAGTAAACATTGGAAGTCAGTTTTGAAAAGCAAATTGAAATCGAGAGTAATTCTCATTCCATCTAGGGCCCAGGTATAAAACTCTTGACTGTTTGTTAACTACTATTTGTAGTTAAATAGTAGTTAATTCTAAAACACGCAAACTTGATTGATTAACATTTGCACTACAATGGAAAAATAGTGAAATCCATAATATATCCATACTATTTCCATAATATATCCATACTATTTCCATAATATATCCATACTATATCCATAATATATCCATACTATATCCATAATATATCCATACTATATCCATAATATATCCATACTATTTCCATAATATATCCATACTATATCCATAATATATCCATACTATATCCATAATATATCCATACTATTTCCATAATATATCCATACTATTTCCATAATATATCCATACTATTTCCATAATATATCCATAGTATGCATGGAGATTGCAATTGGATGTATAAAAATTGGGTTTCTATTTCCAACGAAGATTCGTACTATTTCTATAGTACTAGGTTACCCACAGGGCAGTAATGCTGCCTTCGACAACAAAAGACAAACTACAGGGTGTTGAACGAGTCCTTCAGAAATATCCTATTATTGTTATCCTTGCAGGTTATTTACCGTTACCCATTTATTGACAGTACCCTACCACTGACTGAGTATTAAAAATCGTCTGGCGTTGGACAGGGTAAATACTAAAGTAGGGGTCATTACTGTGCTGATGGATTAACAAGAGACATTGGCAGATAGGTTTGTTAACCATTTACTGGCAGTACCCTATACCACTGACGAGTAAAATCTTCTGGCGCTGGACAAGGGAAGGGCGCATTGCCAGCTAATGGGTTAAACCACCGTGGTTAAACATAAGATTTGATGCTCCAGGAAATGTAAACAAGCTATCAGTGTAACATCCCAGTTTATATATTTATATACTCGGAATATTGATTTCTCGGTATATACAAAATTATTTTAAAGTATAACAACCAGCGAAGAAGTAAGCCACTAACTGCCCTGCGCGGCTGCGCGCAGACTATATAATGACATATATATGTCATCCGTCCGGTCCGTCCGTCCGTCATTCATCTGTCCATCCGTATCCGCGTTTTATCCTACCCGTTTTTAAAACACAAAGTTTGCATAATTAAGGAGTGCGGTTTGTCATGATCAACATTTTCAAAAGCGGCCAATTAGACCAGGGGTTAAAGGTCAATGACAATGACATGCAAGTGACATTTAACATTAGATAGATAGATAGATAGATAGATAGATAGATAGATTTTATTTTGACACGCTAACTACGTCAACTAAAAACATTGATTTCCACGTAGGGCGTGTGTTCAAAAGTTATTATATATAAGTGTTGTTATGACTCTTATGGAATCAAATAAAAGAAAATAGAAATAATCTAACTGTTCCAATTGACAAAATTGACAATATAGACAACTAACAAAACATATTAGATAACTATTTACAATAAAGGATATATATATATATAAGTATGTATAAATATATTATTTAGAAACATGAGCAGCAATTTTTCTTTCAAATAGAGACTGGGACCTAATTGCTAATTCCTCTGATTTCTTTAGGCACTGAGTTCCATATTTTTGCCCCATTAAACATAAAACTCTTTTTCATGCTATTTGTGCGGGGCTGTGGCAAAACAAGTGTTGTTTCAATGTCACGGAGACAGTAATGCGTATTCTCATTCTTGTAGGTAAAAAGGTCTGTTAGGCTTTTAGGCCCAGACATATTCAAAATTTTGAACATTAATTTTGCCTTAGCTTTAGTTCTTTGTACTTTTAGTGTCTCCCATCCTAACGAATTTAATGCGATTTGGGCATTAACTTTGTTACCCATGTCCATAATAATTCGAGCGCATCTATTTTGAAGCTTTTGTAATCGTTGTGATTGAGTTTCACCAAAAATGTCCCACACTTCACAACAATAAGTAAAGTATGGTTGTACAATTGCGTTAAATATAGAAACAAGTGTATCACGGTCAACAAATTCTTTTAGTTTTCTAATAACAGAAATGGCCGATGTGATTTTCTTACAGATACTCTCAGTGTCACTTTTCCAAGAGAGATGCTAATCAATCCTTCACTTGTTTAATTGGTCTGTTTTCAATCATTATGTTTAAATTTGAATCTGAAACAGTATGCACAAGAGATCTTGATCCTATGAGCATAAATTCAGTTTTGGCAATGTTTAGACTCAGTTTGTTCGCGTTTAACCACATTCTGAGGTTTTCCAAATCAGAGTTTACTGCATTTACAACATCATCAATTGTACCACCGGAAGCAGTGAGGTTTGTGTCATCTGCAAAAAGTCTTGGCTTTGTCCTATTTAGGCTTTCAGATAAATCATTTATATATATTAGGAAAAATAAAGGACCTAAAATGGAGCCTTGAGGAACACCACACTTAACTTTGTGTTCAGACGAGACAACACCATTTACTTGGCATTTTTGGGTGCGATCAGTAAGATATGATCTCAGCAACAAATGTGCCTTATCCTTAATACTGTAAATTTGCATTTTCTCAAGTAGAATTTCGTGATCTACGGTGTCAAATGCTTTTTTTAGATCTATAAAAACTACTAAGTTAAACATTTTTCGATCCATGTTAACATACCAACTATTTGTTGAATCTAAAAGGGACGTAGCGGTGGAATGAAACTTTCGAAAGCCAAATTGGTTATCAGAGAGAATTTCGTTTTTAGTTAAATAATCATACATCTGGTCATACAGTACGTAACCTTTCCATGATTTTGCTTATGACTGGTAGTATCGATATTGGCCTGTAATTACCAGGAATATTACGATGACCACTTTTATAAAGAGGTAAAACTCTAGCTACTTTCCATTCATCTGGAAAGCTGCAAAGAGTAATACTTTGATTAAAAATATATGTAAGTGTAGCAGAAATAACTGGTGATGCTAATTTAAGAATTTTACTGGAAATTTTGCCAATACCACATGCTTTTTTACAAGACAGCCCTCTTAAAAGATCAAAAATTTTGTTTATCGCAATTGGTGTAAATGCAGTGAACTTGGATTCAGAACTTTTAGTATACTTTTGAAAGTCACAGCTAGATTCATCCAACTTGCTTGCCAAGTTTGGTCCAACATTCATTAGATTCATTAATAATTAGTTCATTTATAATCGTGGGTTTCTTACCCTTTCCGATCAAACTATTAATAGTTTTCCAAGCCTGCTTTGGATTGCACTTTTGGCTAGCAATCTTTTTAGAATAATAGTCTGTTTTGGCTTTCCTTAATTCGGTATTTGTTTGATTTCTGGCTTTTTTATAAATGAGCCAATCAGATTAAACATTGCGTCTCACTAATTAAAGTTTGCGTGTTTAATGTTTATCAAAGAAACAAAAATATATACAAGACAATCTCACATGTGGAATTTGTTAACTTACCGGTACTGCCTTGTGATGCAGTACAAGTATAAATACAAAAGACAAAGCATTTGTAAATCCTAAAACATAATTAAATCATACGGCACATTCAAGATTTTATTAAATATCGTATTTCAGCCGCGTTTATACCGCTTGGCGCATTCGCTGCGTTATATTCATTTATATACACAGAAAAGCATCAAGCATGTCATTGTCCTTGCAGACCATAGGCAAAAAGCATTTGTCAACCACATACCAAATTTAAGCAATCGTTAAATCATAGGCATGTCATGGAAAGAATATGGAAATAATGTTGAATGAAAGCTAGCATCGCGTATAATGTTAAAAGCACCGCATATAGTGCTCGAACCACTGCGTATATTAATTGCAAAAGCAACGCGTATATAAATGGTGAAAGCACCGCGTATAATGCTGGAACCACCGCGTATAATGCGGGAACCACCGCGTATAGTGGCGAAAGCACCGTGTATAATGCCGAAAGCACCATGCACCGTATAATGCTAAAAGCACCCAACAAAATGCCGTTTGATCACTTTAAGCCAGCTATGGCTTTCCATAAAAGATCAAAGATGAAAGATGATCACATTGTCTGTTTGCCTTATGCCTGACCGCGCTGCACCACGGTTAAAATTCACTGGTACCGTCATGCAATGCGCCAAATGGAAAATTTTGATTTCGACCCACAAAACAAAATTAGGATCTGCTGCCTTGCTCGCTCGCTTCAGGCTCGCTCGCTGCGGCAGCAATAAGGATTTTGAAAAAAGTTCCATTGCTAACTTTTTATGCAACCGGCCCCAGGACTTTACTCAACTGCCGCGTCTGGCCCTGTGACCTGTCGCGAACACGTGGAATTTAATATAATCGGACTTTTTGCATAAATTGACAGACTGGTGCGCCACTGTGAGCAGACAAAGGGAAATCTATATATTGCATAAAATGCTTTTGTAAAAAATATATACACTATAGGTTTTCTTATCTTCAAATTTTTGAACTCTTCAATTTAAACAAGGCGGCCATGCGGACGTATTTTGTGATAATTTGTGTAGTCACCATTTTCGCAAGTTATGCGATAACGGCCGTAAATTGTTCCGAGTCAATTTTCAAAGAATTTACAACGCACGGTGGCTCTGTGATTAAAGACGGCTCTAAGGTAGGTAGAAAATTGTCATCTCCATTTCAATCTAGGGAAAATAACGGATGACTCATATATGAGCTAAATGTCGAAATGATTATATATAGGCGGGTATGTATCAAAATAAAATAACATAACATAATTCCGTTGAGATTTGAGCCTTTCGATCTCCTAGGTGGAAAACGTGGTAATTATTATTCATATGAAAGCTTTGGACTGATAGCGATGCAACTAGTTGAAAAATACAAGGAGAACTTCAGAATAAATATATAAATATGATAAAATTTTCCTTGTATCTTTTCAGGTATAGTTGCGTCGCTATATAAATCCAAAGCTAGTTGAAGCTTTTTTATTATTGTCACTGTCTATCACTGGCACAGACCATTCATACTTCTTCATATAGTTATTGTGAAGTAAAAAGTAGAATTATAACTCTTATAACTGATTATAACTATATATCTAAGAGCTTTATCAATATACCAGGAAGGGCCATTGGAGGGGGAAAAAACATAATGTAAAGACAAGACAAAAAGCAAACAATAACCACGTAACTGGTATATATAAGAGTCGATATTATATATCATATCTATATTTCATGACATAACGCTTTTGGAATGTGCCCTGTTGTACCGTTGTTAGTAGAGCAGTTGATAAGGAACATATCAATTAATATAATAGAAAGGGTTGCAGGCAAGGAAGAGAAATTGCATGTAGGTTATGAGATATTTCTTTTACCGCGAAATTTCAATGTGAAGTGTTCCAATTCCAAAATTCAAATTCTAAGAAATAATTATTAATACATGTGAAATTAATTTTCAGATATATACTTAACCTCTAATTTTGCATGTGAAAAATCGGAATTAAATGCCCAATATTAACATTCTAGCTCACGTAATAATAATATCACACAATTTTGTATCGATCTCTATATAGATCATCTACTGTCCTGCAGGTCCACCGGGTCCCCCTGGACCACCTGGCGTCCCTGGAGTTCCAGGACGTGATGGTAAGGATGGCCAGACTATGATTGAAGTGAATAAACATGGTCGTTTTTGTACAAAACCTGTACCATGCCCACCACAACCACCGTGTCCCCCACCCACTCCTTGTGTCCCAGCTGTCCCAAGGTAAGAAATTCGTGAATGCTAATGGTGTAAGTTTTCAGTAAAAATTTAAGCCAGTACGGTAATAATTTGTTAGTGACTGAGGTATTTTGCCAGTACCAAGCAAAAGTAATGCGTTAAACCGAATGTGTCAGTTTTGTTTTAAGACTATTTTAGGGACGGACGTCGTC